AAAATTTCTTTTGAAGTTTGAGCTTAGTCAATGGAACAATTGCAACCACCCAATGTCAGATCCAATTGTCAAGATTAATGTGACAACCTTGTATCAAAGGTAAATGATGTCATTTTATACTTTCCCAAATCTATTTCCAGCTCTAATTATAAATTTTAAACTCCAAAAATAGTTCAAATCATATAAACATATGGAAATCTTGAAAATGGACAGTTTAGATAATGTGTTGCAAGTGCACTATTTCTGAAACTCGAAATCTTTTTCATTTCATATTCATACATCTCGATGTCGAGATGATCAATTAGAGGGTTTTTAAACTCTAAAACAACATTTTCCGATGGATTTTTGAGGTGCAACCTTAATTCTACATTTTAAGGTCACAACCCAACCTTAAAATCCTAAAAAAAGGCATAAATCATGGAAGGAGGTTATTCTCAAAAAAAAGAAAAAAAGGCAGGTAGGTTATACTTATTGTAAGACCGTAAAATGGTTTAGCACATCAGCAGTTCAAAATTCAAAGACTCCCATCTGAGTGACATTTTGAGTGGGAAACAATCTTTTTCCAATTTTTTCTATAAATTTTGTTGTTTCATTACAATCACCATGTGCATAAATAATTTGAAAGAAAACCTTACCCGAGAGAACCCTTCCAAGTCTTGACGAGCTGAAAATCGTAGGCCCTTCCAGCAGTAAACCTGCAGAATGGAACAGCAATGAAAAGTCATTTTCCTAGATGAAATTGTGGTAAAGAAATCCTATATCTGTGGGGGCTCAGATATCAGTAACTTAGAGGTTGAGGGTCAATGAAAAATAAAGAAGGATATAAATTATTTGGTTAACAATGACACAATGATTTAATTAACAAGATGGAAACATAAGGTGTGCTTGTGATCTAGTGAAGTATTAGGTAAGCGGATACTTCATCAACAAATTTACATGTCTTTCTTAAAGAAATTATATAACAAATATCAGAAACTAATCGTTTTTCTCATTGGAAAAAATAAATTTGTTAGAGAACCAAACAATTCTAATCATAACAAAATAAGAATCAATTTAAGGGTTCCTACACAAAGATCTCACTCATTTTCAATTGAAAAATTTCTCAAAGCTTTAACTTCTAAGAATATGACATGAATTGCTAACTTGGTCAAGAAGGAAGTTAAGAGTGATTAGATTAATGACAATAGAAGTCAAGGATCATCATCAATTCCTATGTAACCTCGTCAAAAAAAAAAACACAAATCACCACAAAAAAGAACACTATAAAATATTCACAGCCAAACTCTTTAATGGACATGCAATGGAAAGATTAAGGATCTCAGATGAAATGAGCAATTGTTTCCCTGAATAAAATCCCACCATCACGCCTCAAATATTGTTTATATAGGGTCTCAAGTGTCGTCTATAGGGGTACCATGCTTATTTCTTAACATCCATATCAAAACAAAAAATAGATTAACAAAACTTAAAACTCACACGATTATTCTTGTGGTGATATTCAGCCTCTATTCCTGCAGAAGTATCCATCTGCATTTCATCACAGGCAGTAAATAAATTTAGACAACTGAGTGAATCTATAGCTATATGGTGCAAGATACGTAAAACTTGCATCTGAGCACTCAATTTCAACCTTACAACCAATATGCTTAGCAGTTTATGATTCTGATATTCTCATGACTTAAGACAACTATAAATGAGTAGAGGCACTAACATCCTCTGCAAGAGCTTTCCAGTACTCCGTGATCGAGGGTGTTCTTACACGTTGAGCATCCGTCAAAGCATTCTGGAGAAAACCAAAAGAATATGTTTAACCAAAGAAGAAGGGAACCGACAAACAAAACCCCATCTTTACATAGCGATTGTAATATTGTATTAAATAAAGTCAAGCATTTTGAGATGATAAAAAAGAAAACTACACAGATTTTATCTATGAAGTATCAGTTGCGAAGCCCTACCATAGCAGTATGATAAAATTAATACTTTTAATGTGGTTTTGATTCCAATGCAACAAATATTGTCTATGAACTCAATACAGGAACCTCACTACAGACCCACCCACGCAACAAAGCTGGGCATCACACCAAACACAGAACAAAATTCACAGCACCAACATTCATTCTTGAATTCTTCTAAGAGGCAAGAAGATCCACAAGCAGAAACGTTTTTGGATACCATAAACTTTTTTCAGAGCAAAGGATATAAAATACAGAAAGACATTCACAAGCAGTAGGTTTTTTTTTTTGAAACGAAATTCACAAGCAGTAGTTTAAGTTTTTCTTTTCTTTTTTTTTGGATATCCAGAAAAAATAATTGAAACTCAACAGTCTTAGCACTACAAACTTGATGGAGAATGTACGCAAATTTTCCAAGAAATATGCTTAGGAGCATGAGCAGCAGCCAATGCGACTAGACATCATGAAACTCGTACTAGAATCTAGATCTTTACTTTCATAGGATAGGAAGACATAAATGGTCCTTTATAAGCAAGTACATTATTATTAATATGGTGTCTAGGCTACATAGACAACATACTGGATTCTGATCTGCCCATTTCCACAGCTGAGAAAGTTCCTTGTTTCCAAGTCTCCAACGTGGCTTGCTACAGAAAAATTAAAATATCAGAATGCAAAACAGAAACAGTTAAACGATATCCAGATAATATCAAATTCTTAGTCAGGGAAGAATATCATCAATCAGCACATGAAATTTCGAACCGTTTTTTAGCGCCATCTTGGTTTGTCTTCCTCTCTGTTGCTTGTTTTTCAAAAGGCGGGCATCCATCACGTTTCCACCAAACCTTAAAAACGTTGCATGCAATTAGTTAGACAAAGTTGGGGAAAAATCACACATGAGATGATCTCTAAGATCCTGGGTTATATCCCCTTGACAAAGGCAGCAAGAAAAACTCACCCAGTTTTTCTCCCGTTCTAATATATGCTCGACCCTTTCAAGAAACTCTTTCCCTTTTGAAGGTATCATTTCAAGAAGCTTCTTCACACGCTCTTCATAGGATTTAATTTCTTCTCTCTGCAAGTATGTGCATTAAATGTCAAGCTATAAAACACACCAGCTTATGCAGTTAGAGAAAATGACTCAGGCATTCAGAAATCATCATCTCTTATTGATTCTATCCATACAAATCATAAACTTGAAGCTACAAACCATGATTTCCTTTGGTCCTTCTTTGTCATTCTTTCCAGGTGCCTACAATAAAATATGGAAGAATAAATACTAGTATATCCGTTGCTGGTGTTTATTCAACCCAAACAGAAATGAACTGACAGTAGTATAACATTCTTAATCAGAAAATAAACAAAAAGAAGTCATGATTACGGCAAAAGATTGAAGAATCCTCGTCTAGAAAAAGAAAGCCAGTTCCATTGCCGCATCGATTGATGAGCTCTCCTAAATGTTATTACGACTGACAGGTGGTCGAACTGGTGGGGTACTGGTTTGGTCGGGCCATTTGAACCAGACTGGGTCCTTGGTCAGACCAGTCGAACTAGACCGATTAACCAGACAGGTTCAAAAATTAAAAATAGAGAAAAATAGGAAAAAACCTAAAAAAGTGGAAAATCAGAAATCAAGAAAATAATTAGAAAGCAGCATTATCATATAGGTCTGAAAAATGTAAATAAAAATATTAACAAAATACACTAAATTTAATCAAGACCAATCTGAACTAGCTGGTTCAAACCAGTTTTGACCGGGTTGATGGCCATCCCAACCCCGGTTTGGTGCCCCTGAACTGACCATTCAGGGCATTAGTTCGACAATTCCAGTCTGAACCAGCGAACACAAGAAAAGGAGAGAATAACCCAATCACAACCTAAGGATGTCATACCAGAAAACAAACATCACTCAACCAACGTCCAAGTATAGGCTGGTGCTACGTTAATGACAATAATTACCAAAAAAAGCTATTTCCACCTGGCTTTTCAGTAACCAAAGTGAGCCTGAACCAGCCCAAGCCCCTAGGCTCCATGCAGCAAGCTGGTACATGTATGATACGTACACATATATGCATGAACATATGTATGTATGTTCCACACATATATGTGGCCGTGTCACAACCATGGAATGCAGCATCTTTTACAATTTTCTCAGAGAAAAACCTAGTGTTAGATCCATATGTGAAATGACTAGCATACCTTAAGGTAATCAAACAATATAAGGCATTGAACAAGGATATGGCGGCGGAAATTTGGATCTTTTAACTGCAGGGTAATGAGAGAAATCAAAATGACCATCATGTTCAAGACAAGTCACTATACATTGGCACAGTTCATCTAGAGCTAAAGATATACCTCTAGTCCCATTAATTTACTGCTGGTCAGATACTTAATGCTGAATGCTACTGCCTCTTCTTCGTCAAGAATATTTGCACTTCCATCATCTTCATGTAAAGGCTGAGCTTCAAATGTATCCATCACAACCTGGGTGAATAAGCAATCATTATATTAACTCTAGAAAATGCTACTTGAGCAAAAATATCTGATGAGACACCCTTAAGCAGGACAGGCAGTCTCATGGAAATTCTACATGGAGAAAATACAGTATTCAAGAAATAGCAGAAGAGAAGTACAACAGTAGCTAATTCCAATATACCATCAAACTGGATGTGAAGTTCTGCCACTTGGCAGAAGCTAGAGTCATGGAAGTAGGGTTACAGAAGTGCTCCTGAAACATAGTAAAAGAACAGCATAATATGCTAATAAGTACTTCCAAATTTGGCAATATTGAGCTTCCTTTTCTGATCTAAAACTCAGAACTAAACACCAAGTAATGGCATTAAACTATTAATAGCATATTACAGAATGATTCTGTATAACTGCAAGGGCTGCTAGAAATAAAAACTGCTTTGTACTAGAGCTAATAGCGAATTGGATGACTGCTCCAAAAGAGAAAAGATGAGGTCCTTTCTTCTAAATTACAACCCATAATCACTCATTTGAAAAAGATAAAAGAAGGAAGCAAACCCCATAACCGAGCTTCTAGCATGAGTCATTCATCATACATACAGAAGGCTAATGAAAATAATAGCAAGACCAAATCTGTGGATAATAAGAGCAGTGAGTGACATAGTCGACCTGCAAACTCCAAAATGTCTTGTAGAAGTTGAAATCAACAGAAATTCCTGAAATATAAAAAAGAAATGTCAGGAAAAGGAAGGAATGGATCCCATTCAGAAACCAATTGTGTAAAGTTGGGAAAATAATCTCCTCAGGGAAAACCTTTAAATAATTTCCTCAGGGAAAACCTCAATAAATATTAGAATAATACCTTCAGGAGGCTCTTGTTCATACTTTGTTTGATTGGATGTATTGAAAACTCCCTTTACATTCAAAGCTGACAATAACGAGCAGAGGATTGCAATCAAAGTGACTTAAACAGACAATTGAACAAAACACAAAAGAAACACAGAGACTGCAGAGAATACAATGGCAGCCAATACCTGAGCGCTCCGACAATGGGAAGACATGAGCCAGAAACATAAGGATACGGCCACAGAAGACCACATCATTTGCCTGATGGACAGAAAGATGCAGATTGAAAGATCATCAGATTATAACTTTCAAAAAGAGCAGTCATCAGAATACATGGGCTCCAAGTCATGAGAAATGTGGATCATAGAAGGCAACAAAACTTTTCATGAAAGATTAATTTTCTATGTACAATAATTATTCAAGATCCCAATTGTATAATATTGGCTACCTTAGAAAGTCGACGAAGAAGCTGATTGCATGTCCTCAACATTACAAGCTTCCCTCTGCCAAAGAGTTCTTGCTGCAAACAAGAAAACATATCCACTTCTGTAGAAATTCCATAATGCCCAGAAACCAAACGATGCATTTAACAAATCCTAGTAAAGTCAAATAGACTTTGAGCCGCACAACAGCAGTTCATTCAATCACCCACAAAAACAAAAAGTGCAGTACATACCTTGCCTAAGATATCCTGCTTGCTCTCGATATAGCCAAAAACTTCTTTACAATCTCTGATGGTTGACATTTCAGTCAAATCTTCTAGCAGCTGGAATATCATACCACCCTCCACATGACTTTGCTCACAAAGATAGAGGACAATATCTACAGAGAGATGAAGGAGCACAATCAATTGGGAAAATTGCAAGGAGAGTGATCATTTAATGCTTCCAAAGACGGAGAATTTTCAATCCAAACATTCAAAGAACAAATAAATAAATCTTACAAGTGAGCCACACTTTATACGTCTACTATGCAGTTGCAAGAAATACGAACCAAGAAGCCGAGGTATGAGACCAGGCATACTCCCTGCACCATCAATGGACTGTCCATATTGCATAGTGCGCTCTCCTAACTGAACTGCAGAGGACTACATGTCCAAGACAAAAAGCAAGTTAAGAGAACTCAATAAGGCCAAGTTGGAAAAGAAAGTGGAAAATGAAAATCTAGAATATATATGTCAATTACATTACATAGCGAAACTGACAAATAAGCCAAACTTTAGCATATGGTAGCATGTGAGAAATACCAGGTCATTTATGCATGTACACATACATGCAAATATGCACACAGAAAAGCGCATGACACATCTTTAGAATGTAATAACTTACTGCTAGTTCCTGAAGTAATGCCCGTAGAGCATTTTCCAAGGATTGGTTCTCATCTTGCACCAACACAGTTTGTTTCTGCCAAAATATGTCGCATTTGAGAAAAATGAACAAAGCAAGACTAATTTTCAAGCTTTAGCAGGGATATAATTTTCCAATTCATTGACAACTAACAAGTGAATGCATAGAAAGTGATAAGCCAATAAACACTATGATGCCATACAAATTTAAATGATGGAACTCGTAAAGAAGTGCGGCCCTGGACAATGTCTCAAACACAAGAAATTTTACATTAGCGAGAACATTGATTATGACCTGTGGTTTTATGGCTTCCTGAACTGTCTGCAAAGCAAAATTTGCAGGTGGACCAACTTGCGATAGTGCACGTCTAAATACTTCCTGGAACAAAAGTAGAACTTCCATTTATCTCATGTATAAGTAGAAAAATGAAAGAAAGGCATTCTAACCTTTTTAGAATTATATTAAAAATATGATAAATGTAGATTATACACAATCAATAGTGCTATGTAGACTATACACAATCAATAGTGCTATGTAAATGCATATGATCTTGTCGAAGCATCCTTATATCAAAAAATTGAGTTTATAAAGGAGACTGTTGAAACTCTTCAAAAAAAGAAGGAAATTGTTAAAAAGGGAAAATTGAATAGAAGATGTTATAGATGCATCATTAAGAGTTCCCAAAACCCAAAACCCAAACTTAAAGACCTTGGGTACAAAACAAAAGCGCACATACCATGGAAAAATGATGTTATGCTGTCACGGTACAATTAAACTTATGTCCAACCCTCTTTGAATCATTTTGAAAACAGCACACCAAGTTGATCATTGAAACCAAATTAAATAAAATTATTTTCCGCATGAAACATGATTTATCTTCTGTAATTCACTTTGGAATGACAAAAGCTCCCAATGGTAAAATTGTTTTGCCTTTTTTCCAGCTAGAGAAAATGAAATTGTACACTATTTGAACACCTGCAATGCAAAATTATTTCTTCCGTAGGGTAGTGTTCTATTTGACTATCATATTTAAGTATGGAAACGTGTACCGTGAGTCAGGGGCGCAGAACATAACAAAACTGACAATAAATCAAGAAACAAAGACCAGAAATACAGATATTGATCAGGAAAAACACCAATATTGCGCAGTCCAAAAAAAAAAACCCTAATTTAACGGGATTTCGTAGTTGATAGACAAAATTCATGAAAGTAAATTAAGAAAGTGAAGTACAAGAACTCGGTTTCTATCAGCGTGGCTGGAAACGGTGATGGGGGAGCGTTCCTTTTGGGGTTGCTGCTGATGAAGGAGAATGCGTAGTTGAGGAGTAGCTTCCGCCATCGCTAACTAACTTGTTCTCTCTCTCTATGTTACTAGCTCCCTCTCTCTCTCTCTCTCTCAGAGAGAGGCAAGCTCCTGCTTAATATCTTTGCGGATGCCCAAATTTGTCCTTAAGCCAAATAAATAGAAAAACAAAAACAATAAATACGGTGTTCACTATGAAAAAGAGACTGAGCTATAAAATACGAGGGGCGTGCGGTTTGTACAAGTGCACCACAAAATTTTATTATGAGATATAATTTTAATGTTAAAAATTCTTATAACGGCATGATAATCAATTTTCATCTTTAATTAAATTTTAATTATAAACATATGAGGATTTAAAAATTGATAGTCTAGATAATGTATTGCAAGATATACTATATTTAAGACTCAAAAAAAAAAAATTTCCATATTCATATATCTCCATGGCAAGATGCTCAATTAGAAGATTTTTTAACTTCAAAATAGCTTTTTACGATGGATATTTTAAGTACACATTAATTCTATATTTTAAAGTTACGACATTATATAATTTTTTAAAATATAAAAGAAAAATTTTATATAAGGTTGAGGCTTGAAACAATTAAATTTACTAGAAGAGGTTGTTTCTATGTTGAAAAACCCTCAAATCAATCGTCTCGACCTCGAGATTTATATATGTGAAAAAATAAATTTCAAGTATATAAAATAGTGCATTTGTAATGCATTATCTGAGCTGTCAAGTTTCAATATTTGAAGTGTTTATAGATCTATCAAAGCAATATTATTCTTGAAGCTTTAAATTTTATAATTAGATATGAAAATAGATTTTCAGACTATCACCAAGATTTTTGCAACCGAAAAATCATATTTCAATATTATTTAGAGGTTAGAGCCTCAATTTTATACAAACTAACCCAAATATTCTTAAAATACATGAGACGGTTCTTAAATATCAAAAATAAAGAGAGATTTTTCCATTAATTTCCCAAATGTTACAAGATAATTAAAGGATTAATTATTTAATATTTTACCTTTTCGATTTAATTTCATAAAATCTTCATAATACACAAGACCATGAGTTGGAATACCCAAAATGGATAAACTATCAAAGAATTGTGTACAATGAGACCTTTATCTTTGTCCCAATCGCTCATATTTATTCGAAGTCAAATCGGTCTCTCTTTTTTTTTCCACTTTTCCTACAATATTTGATGTCTCCTACTTTAATTTTCATAGGGAAAGGAATAAGGAGGCTTAGAAAATAAGGGTTCGGTTTACAGCACAACTTTACGAAAAGCAAAGCCATAATTGCCAATCTTGCCTTTGAAATGTCTTAAAATTTTATTTTTATTTTTTTTTGTATATGTTGATCACAATTATTCTCACTCATTAGATGTAAAATTAAATAGCTTGAGATACATTACTAACTCCAAGAAAAAAAAATGTAAAAACATTATGCCTATTCAATGACACTTTTACAACCACCCATTTTCAAATTTAAAAAAAACCATTTCAAATTTAAAGGATAAGCATGAATGTGACATTCATATACAAAAAGATAAATGGCCTCTTTGTAAACAATCCCATTTATTTTTACCCTTAATTATGAATCTTAAATTTTTACTGTTATGCATAATTGACGGATCTATGAATACTTAAAAATGACAGTGATAACATGTCCTTATTTTAAAAGTATGAATTCCCTATTTTCATCTGCATTGTGTGAATTTTATGTCACATTTTGTAATGCATTATTGTTTGCATTATTATTTTTAGAATATGAATTCCTTTATAGCTATAATGCATTATTGTTTTTAGATCTACATGGTGTGATTTACATCCCATGGTTCATGACTAAAAGTAATTGTCATGTGCTTACATAAAAAAAAAAGATCTTACAATCCCTCCATATCATCCCTTGAAAGGTGTTGATTGAAATCAAATTATTGTTTGGAATCAGCCGGATCAAATTTTCATTTATCCATGTTGCAATTTAGCCTTGAAAGGTGTTCTGATTTTTAAATTCAAATTGGTTCCAAGTTCAAGTGGACTCTCCGTTGAAAAATGCCATTTATCACACACACACACTCTCTCTCTCTCTCTCTCTCTCTCCACTACCCCTTCCCTGTCACAACTGCAATCTTACGTTTGTCAGCACCGCACCATTACTACTATTGAGCCACCACAATACCACATGCACCACCACCACTTCACCACCGTTGCACCACCACCACTTCACCACCGTTGCACCACTACCATTACCACTGCTGCTCACCACATTCACCACCACCACCACTCCATTCGTACCACAATTACCCCCCACCAGCATCTCACCAGTACCATACCTCCGCCACCATATGACATATGACCACCACCACCCCCCCATGACCACCATTGTGCCACTATCATACTGCTCACCACTACCACCACATCACACCATCTTTTTTGGGTGAATACCATTTTGCCATCATCAGCCCCACCATCACACCACACAATGCAAATTGCAATTCAAATTAGAACAATCGAAGGCCCTAAATAGCAAACAATAATCGACAAGGAAATGTATTTCATCAATTACAATTCAGATAAAAAAAAATCACTATTTAATGAAATTTGAAATCAAACGGTGCCTTAGTAATTTCTTTTTTTCTGCTTAACGTTAATAACAAAGTACAATATAAGTTAGATAAAATAGTACAGGTTATCATGACATTGCTGTCCACAGTTCATAGTAATAATGGTACATCTCCTCTTTGCTACAACTGATGAGCGCCCGGATCTGACTTATGGCTACTGGTATTGGGATCTGATCCATGGCAACTGTATTGGAACAAGAACCTACCTTTAAAACTTCATGGTTGAAATCTCTCTCACATTACTGAAGGCAATTTGGCTGGATGGATAGTAGAAGTAAGCATGGTTTATGAATTCAGCTCGAACCCGCCAATAGAATGAAGAGTTCATCATCAGTTATAGCACCCAGTTCCATTGCTCTTTCTAAAGCACTTTTGCCGCCACCATCTTTAATTGATGGGCTTGATCCCCTGAGACATCAAACAAGGAACGAGATCTTTTATACAGAAAAACGTAAATAAACAGTCAAAATCATGTTAATCAGTTCCATAAAGTAAAGGAACAACGCTCTCAGGTCAAAGCAAGTGGGCACACATCTAACTCGCATTTCTTAAGACAAAATTCAGATGTGAGGACCCAATAGATTTTCTCGGATACAACCAACAAATTGGCATCAATGGACCTCGAAACCACAAGGGAGAGAATTTTATACAATTGTAACGAGCTGCCAAGGCCAGCACCCTGGCTCTGTGCAAAGAGATCGTCTCTCTCTCTCTCTCTCTCTCTCTCTCTCTCTACACACACACAC